CATGACTTCTGCCTGATTATAGCTCCAAGACAAGACACCCTGCTAGCACATGTCCCTCCCACCCACTGTATCCATTAGGAATTGTTGACTTTTACACAAATAAGAATTTGGTCAGTACAGTTGCTCCTTGACTGAAAATAAACCCACTGAAAATGGAAAATATCTTAAGTCATTTAATATACTCAACCTACAAGACAGCATAGCTAAACCATCCTTAAACGTACTCAGAACACTTACATTAGTCTACAGTTTGTCAAAATCATCTCATACAATGAATACACCCTAGAGTATCAGTTGTTGACCCTTGTGATCATGTGGTTGACTGGGATCTGTGGCTTGCTGCCATTGTCCAGCATCACAAGAGAGTATCGTACCATGTATTGCTAGCCTGGAAGGAGATAAAAATTCGAAGTACAGGTTCTACTGAATGGATATGGCTTTCACTCCATCATAAAGTTGAAAAATCTTAAGTTGAATTATCATAAGTAGGACCATCTATATTTTTTACTATGTATCAGTCTTTTTTCATAGTCAGCTCTGGCTCTTAACATTTAACATTTAAAATGTATACCACCTTTTACTCAAAGATAATGCTCACTTAGTTGTTGTTGTTTTTCTTTCTTTTTTAACAGACTTCATTTTGTGAATCGGTTTCAGAGCTTCAGGTTCACAGCAAATTTTAGTAAAAAGTACAGAGTTCCCACATACTCCCTGCCTCCACAAATACACAGTCTTCCTCACTACCAGCATCCTGGTAAAAAAAAAAAAAGTGGAACATTTATTACCAATCAGTGAACCTACACTGATACATCGCTGTCACCTGAAATCCATAATTTACATTAGGGTTCATTCTTTTATTGTTGTTAATCCTCACCCAGGATTATTTTTCCATTGATATTTTAGATAGAGTGGGAGAGAGGGAGGGAGAAAGAGAGAAACATCGGTGTGTGAGAAAGACATCAATTGGTTGCTTCACATTCTTGCTGTTGTATATTCTGTGGGTTGTAGCATATGGATAATGACATGTATCTACCATTACAGCGCTAAACAGAATAGTTTCATCCTCTGTGCTCTGCCTGTTCATCCCTCCCTATCTCCTAAGCCCTGGCAATTGTTGATTGATTGTTTTTTTAAAATCCTCACTTGAGAGTATTTTTCCGTTGCTTCTTTTTTAGATAGAGCAGGAGGGAGAGAGGGAGGGAGGGAGGGAGGGAGGGAGGGAGAGAGAGAGAGAGAGAGAGAGAGAGAGAGAGAGAGAGAGAGAGAGGAATGTCAGTGTGAGAGGGACACATTGATTGGTTGCCTCCTGCACTTCCCTAACTTCCCTAACCCAGCTGGGGATCGAACCTACAACCAAGGTATGTGCTCTTGACCAGGAATCGAAACCTTTACTCTCTGGATTAACCACTGAGACAAACCTGCCAGCGTTCATTGATTGTTTTATTGTCCCCATAGTTTTTTCTTTTGCAGAATATCATATAATTGGAATCAGTATGTGTAGCCTTTTCAGATTGACTTCTTTCAGTTAGTAATTTGCATTTAAGTTTCCTCCATATCTTTTCATGACTTGATAGCTCATTAGTCCTGAATAATATTCCATGGCCAGGATGTACTATATTTTATTTATTCATTCACCTACTGAAGGACATCTTGGTTGTTTCTAAGTTTTGGCAATTATGAATGAAGCTGCTGTAAACATCTATGTGCAGGTTTTTGTGTGGACATAGTTTTCACATAAAATACCAATGAGCACAATTGCTGTATTGTATGCTAAAAGTATGTTTAGTTTCATAAGAAACCATCAAACTGTCTTCCAAAGTGGCTATACCATTGTACATTTCCACCAGCAGTGATGAGAGTTCATGTTGCTCCACATCCTTACCAGCATTTGATGTCAGTATGTTGGATTTTGGCCATTTTAATGAGTAGCAGTGGTATCTCATTGTTATTTAAAATTTTTTTTATCCACACCCGAGGACATTTTTGCATTTATCTTCAGATAGAGCGGGAGGAAGAGAGGGAGGAAGAGAGAAACATTGATGTGAGAGAGACACATCAAATGGTTGCCACTCACAGAACCCCAGCCAGGGACTCTCTGGTCCCTGTGCTGACAGGGCTCTCATTGTTATTTTAATTCGCATTTTCCTGACGATATGTCATGTGGAGCATCTTTTTATATGTTTATTTGCCATCTGTATATCTTCTTTGGTGAGGTGTGTGTTATGTCCTTGAACCATTTTTTAATTGGTTTGTTCATTTTCTTGTTGAGTTTTAAGAGTTCTTTATATATTTTGGATAATAGTCCTTTATCAGATATGTCTTTTGCAAATATTTTCTCCCAGTCTGTGGTTTGTCTTCTCATTACCTCCACATTGTCTTGCAAAAAAACGTTTTAGTTTTTAATGAAGTCCAGCTTATTGATCGTTTCTTTCATGATCATGTTTTGGTGTTGTATCTAAAAATTCACTACCATATTCAGGGTCATCTAAATGTTCTCCTATGTTATCTTCTAAAAGTTTTATAGATTTGCATTTTACATTTAGGTCTGTGATCCATTTTGAGGTTATTTTGGTGAAGGGTGTAAGGTCTGTGTCTAGATTAATTGTTTTACATTTGAATGTCAGTTCTTGTATCATTTGTTGAAAAAACGTACTTTTCTCCATTATTGCCCCTGCTCCTTTGTCAAAGATCAATTAGTTGTATTTATGTGGGTCTATTGATGGGTTCTCTCTTCTGTTCTTTTGATCTATTTGTCTATATTTTTTAATCCTCACTCAGGGATATGTTTTTATTGATTGTGTGTGTGTGTGTGTGTGTGTGTGTGTGTGTGTGAGAATGGAACCTGTGACCTTTTGATGTATGGGACTGTACTATTTTTCTTTTTTTTGAGGGGGGGCATTAATCCTCACCTGAGGACCATTGATTCTTAGAGAGAGTGGAAGGGAGAAGGGGGAGAGAGAGACATCAGCTGCTTGCCTCCTGCACATGCCATGACCAGGGCGGGGATTGAACCAGCAACATAGGTATGTGCTTTTGATCTGGAATTGAACCCAAGATCCTTTGGTGCTTGGGCTGACACTCTAACCACTGGGCAATACCGACCAGGGCTATTTTTCTGTTCTTTTGTCAGTACCACACAGTCTTGATTGCTGTAGTTTTATAGTAAGTCTTTCAGTTGGGTAGTGTCAATCTTCTGATTTTGTTTTTCAATATTGTGTTTGCTTTTCTAGGTCTTTTGCCTCTCCTTATAAACTTTAGGATCAGTTTGTTGATATCTACAAAATTATTTACTGGGATTTTGATTTAAATTTCATTGAATCAATAGGTCATGTTAGGAAGAACTGACATCTCGACAATATTGAGGTAAAATGGTTCTGAAGATGGAATGGCTATTTAGTTCTTTGATTTCTTTTATTAGAATATTATAGATTTTTCAAAGATCTTGTACCTATTTTTGTTTGATTTTTACGTAAGTATTTAATTTTTTGAGTGCTAATGTAAATGATAATGAGTTTTTTTTTAAATCCTCACCTGAAGACATATTAATTGATTTTTAGAGAGGAGGGAAGGGAGAGAGAGAGAGAGAGAGAGAGAGAGGAGAGAGAGAAAGAAACATTGATGTGGGAGAGAAACATTGATTTGTTGCCTTTGGTCTGCACCCCGATCAGGGATTGAACCTGCAACCTAGGTATATGCCCTCACTAGAAATTAAACTTTCCACCTTTGATTTTTCAGTGTATGGGATGACACTCCAACCAACTGAGCTACATTGGCCAGGACAGTGGTAATGAGGGTTTTTTGTTTGTTTGTTTTTTGTTAATCTTCACCAGAGGATATTTTTCCATTAATTTTTTTTTTTACAGACTGGAAGGGAGTGGGGGAGAGAGAGAGAGAGCGCGCACGAGCGAGCACACAACATCGGTGTAAGAGAGACACATCAATTGATTGCCTCCAGCAGGACCCCAACTGGGGCCCAGGATCAAACCCACAACCCAGGCACATGCCCTTGACCGGAATCGAACCTCAGACCCTTCGGTCCACTGGCTGGCTGATGCCCTAACTGCCAAGCCAAACTGACCAGGGCAATGGTAATGAGTTTTTAATGTCAAATTTCACTTGTTCATTGCTGGTATATAGAAAAGTGATTCACTTTTGTATGTTAACCTTATATCCTGCAACCTTGCTGCAATTGCTTATTAGTTCCAGGAGGGTTTTTTGTTGTTATTGTTTTAGTTTTTGTTTTGTCAATCCTTTTAGTTTTTCTATGTAGGCAGTCATGTCATTTGTGAAAAAAGACCGTTTTCTTTCTTTTTTTTTGAATGTGCCCCTAGCGGGAACCGAACCCAGGGACTCTCTGGTCCACAGGCCAATGCTCCAATTGCTGAGCCAAACCGGCCAGGGCCTGTTTTATTTCTTCTTTTCTAATTTGTATACCTTTTATTTATTGTACTTGTCTTACTGCATTAGCTAGGACTTCTAGTACGATGTTGAAAAGAAATGGTGAGAACATCCTTACTTCATTACTACTAATCTTAGCAGGAAAGCTTCTAGTTTTTCACCATTAAGTATGATGTTAGCTTTAGGTTTTTGGTAAATGTTCTTTATCAAGTTAAAGAAGTTCCCCTTTATTCTAATTTGCTGAGTGTTTCACTTTGTTTGTTTAGTTCAGATTTTTGTTTAGTATAATTTTATAGATAGTGGTATAGTTAAATCTTTTAGGCTGCTGAAACCCATTTGTCATTGCAAATTTAAACCTGGATTAAAATGTGATGTTGGTTATCCTTGTATTTGTATAATTTTTAAAATTAAAATATTTAAGGCATTTAGAACTTGTTTTCTGGATACAGACTCTAAGCTAGGAAGGACAGTGAGACCAAGTGAAATAACTGAAAATTTTCTTTTTATATAGTGCTTGATTCGAATTAAAGGGAATCACATAAAGAATCTGGAATGTTGGGCAATTAATCATTAAACATTTTTTCTGTTTGGTTTGTTCACAGATGTTCAGCCTGTTGCCTATGAAGAGCCCAAACATTGGTGTTCAATTGTTTACTATGAATTAAACAATCGTGTTGGGGAAGCTTTTCATGCGTCTTCTACTAGTGTGTTAGTAGATGGATTCACAGACCCTTCAAATAACAAAAGTAGATTCTGCTTGGGGTTGTTGTCAAACGTTAACCGTAATTCCACAATTGAAAACACTAGACGACATATTGGAAAAGGTAATTTTGTCATTTTCCTACATTCACTTGAATTCTCTTTGTCGTGCTTGTTGTGTACCATTCATCGTGAAAGGTTGTGTACCACGCATTGTGAAAGGTGCTGGAGCATACAAAGCCTGAGGCATAGTGTCTGCGCTCAAGTTGCAGGTGTTGAAGTAAAGACATAAACAGTCCTCTTTTCCTTATCCTGCTTAGTTGTTTTTCATAGTACTTAGGATCTGAAAACATATTTCTTCTTTGTTTATATATGTATTTTTTTTACCCTCACCCGAGGATATTTTTGTATTTATTTTCAGATAGAGCAGGAGGGAGAGAGGGAGGAAGAAAGAGAGAAACATCGATGTGAGAGAGACACATCAAGTGGTTGCCACCCACACAACCCCAACCGAGCTGGGGACAAACTGCAACCGAGGTACATGCCCTTAGCGGGAACTGAACTTGGGTCTCTCTGGACCGCAGGCCGACACTCTAACCGCTGAGCCAAACCAACCAGGACTTTGTTTATATTTTTAAATATTTTTCTGATGGGAATATAAGCTTTACAGAAATTTGCCTGGTTTACATCTTCAGCAGCTAGAACAGTGCCTGACTTATACTAAATTTACAACAAATATTTGTGGAATATATTAATGCTGTGGAAGGATTAGGATTTTATAATTATGATATTTATGAAGTATTTTGGGTTGAGATGATGTATAGGAATTTCCATTATGTTGGAGGAGAAGGGTTATAGGTAGGAAATCCAATTTGAGTAACATAAATCTTCAGTAGCCTCACCATCATCCCTCCCACCTTTTAATTCAGGTAATAGGTTTTATTTAAAATTTGTCCTGTAAGACAGTTGCCATAACAGAGAACTTCTCCCACAGCAATGAAATGTCAGAGTCTCTCATATCAGGTGGTCAGGAAAGATATCTGTCCCAGGTAGAGTGTATTGCCTGTTTCTTAAGAACTTTTGTTTTTACCACTTGCTGCTTTTTGCTTCTTTTGACTTGAAAAAAATCTTAGTCCAAATACTGAACAAAAGGTAAATAACTAAAATTGTAATGCAATTTCATAACAAGAGATTCAGAAAAATACTATGGCCAAAAATAAATTGAAAAGAAAATTTCCATTCTCTTTTGACTTTAGCCAACTTGATTTTTTAGGTGTAATGCCTCACTTCTTTGCATTGATTTTCTCACTGTATTAGAATAATTCAAGAGAAATCCACTTGATGAATTCTTGAATTCTATAATCAGTGTTCCCCTTTCCCCTCATCAAATATATTTCTAGGACTCTTTCTTCTATAGGTCATTTTTATTTGCTCAGAAAAAAAATTTTTTTTTAATATCACAGCATAATACAAGTCTGTGAGTCATGTATGTGCAGAGGTATGTATGTACAAGGATGGTCTTTGCAGTAGTAAAAAGTTGGGAACAACTTCAGCTTTAGCTATATAATTTGAATTTTTAATATTGTAACTATTCATATTTATTTGTATATATTTTAAATACCAAAACATTTGTTATATTTATTTATTTTATTTTTTAAATTTTCACCTTAGGATATTTTTTTCATTTATCTTCAGATAGAGTGGGAGGGAGGGAAGGAGGGACAGAGAGAAGGAGCGAGAAAGAGAGAGAAACATAGATGTGAGAGAGACACATTGACTAGCTGCCTCCCCCATGACCCAACCATGGCCGGGGACCGAACTGCAATGGAGGTACGAACCCTTGACTGGAATCAAACCTGAGACTCTCTGGTCTGTGGGCCAAGGCTCTAACCTCTGAGCCAAACTGGCCAGGGCTATTTTAATTTTTTAAAATTTACTGGTTTGAGAGAGAAACATCAATTTGTTGTTCCACTTATTTATGCATTCATTGATTGATTCTTATATGTGCCCTGATCATATGCCACAACCTTGGCATATGAGGTCGATGCTCTAACCAACTGAGTTACTGTGCCAGGATCAAAAAAACATTTTTTTTTTTTACTGGAAAGTAAAAAAACCCTGCCATTTAAAGGCTACTTTTGTGACCTTAATTTACATATGTGCCTTAGGGTTTTTGGTTTTTTTTCCTTTTTCATGTTATGCTTTCCTCCATTAGCAAAAGGAATGCAAAACTCTTTGCCAAATGACAATGTATTATAGTAAGCATTCCTTTGTAAAGGGTTCATCATAAGGTGGTGTGTGTATGTGTGTGTGTGTTGTGCCATTGCTTTCTTTCATAAGATGATAAATGATTATTGGAAAAGGGGCAAAAACCCCAAGAACTAATAAACTAGTATTTTGCCAACTTGAGTGTTAAGTCTTAGTTATTTGAGGACAATTTTAAATTTAGGTTTAGATTAACCTTTTGATTATCTTTGACAGCAAAAGGCCATCTAGTGGTACCTTCTATCTAAAGACTGTGAGGAGTTTGCTATACAATCGGCTCTCATTTATTGCGGTTAATCCATTCCAAACTCTACCCCCATAAATGAATTTCCGTGAAGTAGGATTTTTTATTTCCATACAGTCGTCCTCGCCACATTGCTAGATGCTCGACTTTGGCGGCTTCACTCTATCACGTGATAGAGTGAAGCCGCCAAAGTCGAAGTGCGAAGTGGTGAAGGATGACTGTAGATTGGTGGGTGTTCTTGGTTGCATTTCATACAGACTCTTTGTTTTCATTATACTGCTTTGTTGACTCTTGTAATGCCTGTCTTTTTAAGGTGTTCATCTGTACTATGTTGGTGGAGAGGTTTATGCAGAGTGTCTCAGTGATAGCAGCATATTTGTACAGAGTAGGAACTGCAACTTTCATCACGGCTTTCATCCTACCACTGTCTGTAAGATTCCCAGCAGCTGCAGCCTCAAAATTTTTAACAATCAAGAGTTTGCACAGCTTCTGGCTCAGTCTGTCAATCATGGATTTGAAGCAGTATATGAGCTCACCAAAATGTGTACAATTCGAATGAGTTTTGTCAAGGTAAGTGGGTTGTAACCTGTAGCTTAATTTGAGTCACTGTAAATATGTATATTATATATCTGTAGGATATAATTTTTTAAAAGCCATTATTAAATGAAAGGTGGCAATTACTTTTGACCTGATTTAATAGGTTTTTAAATGAAATTCTTAAATCTATAATTTTAACCACATGATAGGTCTATGATTTTATTTTATAAACCAGACGTTATAAAATGTATGATACTGATTTTGATTTTGAATAGGGGCTGAGCTTATAAAAAATTTAAGTTAAAGACTAAATTGCTAGATGCCCGGCTGGTGTGGCTCAGTGCTTGAGCATCGACCCATGCACCAAGAGGTCACCAGTTCGATTCCCCGTCAGGACACATGCCCAGGTTGTGGGCCCAATCACCAGTGGGGGGCATGCAGGAGGCGGCCAGTCAATGTTCTCTTTTATCGATGTTTATCTCCCTCTCCCCTTCTTCTCTCTCTCAAATCAATAAAGTAAAAATAAATTTTTAAAAAAGGCTAAATTGCTAGAGAACATTTAATACTAACATTTTTTTTTAAGTTCTCTAACTTTAGCAGTTTCAATTATTATTAGATCCCATTAGAGTAACTTAAAGGATTTTTTTAGGATACTAAAATTATTTTCCTTGTATCTAAGTTCTGTTATTGAGAATTTTTAAAGTTTAAAGAACTTTTAAAATTTATTATTTACTCTTGACCAGACTTTATTGGCATTCCAAAGATGATGGTTCATGAGCAAAATTTGGAAAGAATTTTAGTGACATATTTAAGCAACCTGTACTTGGTCCTTATGGATTTAGCCCAAGAAGAGCAACTGTCAAATGCTATGTGTGGGTGTTTTCATTTTGGCATTCAGTCTCATAGTTCAATGCTTCCTTGCTGCTTTGTTATAGGTCTACCATAAACATCAGTTTATGAGTAGCCTTGAAGTACTCATTCCCTCCCTTCTGAGGAAATATGACTTTAGCATATTTAATCTTTTTTCCCCCATCCCCATCCTGTCCCCCTGTGTGTCTCTCAGTCCCCCACTCCTACTCTGCTGGCTCCCCTGCCTAATTTTCCTGGGCCAGGACTGCTATGAACAGTAAAGCAGAGCTTGATAAATCCAGGCAAATAAAAGGGGGGAAAAAATTAATCTTGTCTGCAGTTTTAGGATGAAGTGTTCTAGCTCAATTATCCCACTTTAAAGGATAATTGATATGTGATTGCCACTTAAATTATACTTGCATGCATTGTTCAGATCTATACTGTCTTATCTTATATTTAAAAATAAAAACAAAATCCAAAACCTGGAAGCAAAAAAAAGTATGTTAACAAAATCTGATGTGAATTTATATGAGGCTATTTATTTATGTTTTATTTATTCTATTAAGTGAGAATATATGTCACTGTAGAAATACTGCTTTTTAAAGTATGAGATTTTACACTTTATAAAATTAAAAAAAGAGAAATCTGAAAGAGCTTGCTTCAAGGGTTTCTATTAATGGAATTATATGTTATTAAACATACATATGCCTTTCAATAATGTAGCCATTGTATTGCTTTTAACTCCATGGTGAATGCTAAGATTGATTTTGTGATTTTTTTTTAAAGTACATTATGCATATATCTACTATGAATGTATCTTTTTGTTAGTATACTAAAATTGGTTTCAACTGGTTGACAGTTTAAAGAGGTATTTGCTATGTATGATATCTGTTCATTTTTGTAGGGCTGGGGAGCAGAATATCACCGGCAGGATGTTACTAGCACCCCGTGTTGGATTGAAATTCATCTTCATGGGCCTCTTCAGTGGCTGGATAAAGTCCTCACTCAGATGGGCTCCCCTCTGAATCCCATATCTTCTGTTTCATAGTGCAGAAGTATTCTTTTCAATTATATTATTAGTGGACTTATTTTAATTTTAGGGAAACTTCCAGTACAGATACTGTGAGCTTACATGGAAAACAGCTTATTTTTTTTTTCTACATAATTGTGACCAATACATTTGTATTTTGTGATGAATCTACATTTGTTTGTATTAATGTTCACTTGATTAACTCCAAAAAGTGTTGTGAAAAATGCAGAAAAATTACTGTGCCCCAGTTCAAAAGTATGGCATTAATCTTAAACTGGAACATACTTTTGCATTGTTGTCTCAACAGATTATTTTTTATTTGTTAAAATTTTTTTGAAAACTTAAAACAACACATGATGAAAATTTATAATAATATAAGAGGGTATACAGTGAAAAGTTTTCCCTTTGACTCTTGGTCCTCAAGAAGCTATACTTTTACCAGTTTCTTTATCCTACCAACTTTTAAAAAGTCTAATTCATTGTTCTATAAAAGCATATGGTAGGGGCTTAAAAGAAACTATAAAAAAAAAATCTTCTATTTGAAGGAACACTATGCACTGCTGTAACAAGTAGTATCCAGTGAAAGCAAAGTGATAGTTTTCTAGACATAAAATTTACATTTAATACAGCTAAATGTTTGTCAGTGTATTGTGACTTCACTCAATATGTCTTTTGTAAAACATTACCTTTAAAAAAAAATTATTGCCAACAACAGATCTCCAGGATGTCATTCACTCAGAACCTGTCATAAGTACTACTTTATAGCTGGTGACAGTACACGCATGGCCTTGTTGAGCTGTTTGCTGTTTTGGCCAGTGTTGCAAAAACTCTAATTTTGACATGCATTAATCTTTTATTTTGCACTTTGATGGGTGACAGTTTTTAGTGTAACCTTTTGTGAAACACACTCAAGTGACTTGGACTTAGATGCTCATCCTTACTTTCTTGGTACCCCTTTTGTATTAACAAACACTGCAGTTTATAGATTACAGTTGTAGGAAGTTACGCTTTTTCTAGCTTTTGTTGTATTTTCAGTCTAGATTATAATACTGTTATTCTGTAGCTCCAACTTAAGGTGCCTTTTAAATTCCAGTTTTATGGATTTTATTAATGTAGGAAAGTCATGTACTTAATCCCATGCAAGGACCTGTGTGTTGTAGCCATAGGAACCTCTGTAGTTTGGACCCAAGGTGGGGTGCTGGTTTGATACTTAAATGTATCAGCAGTGGTTGTTGAGATGGCTGATTTTAAAACATTCTTGTATCAAGGAATACAGACTGTTCTGTCAGTTACCATGCATGCTCTCTTTACTTTTTTTTATAGCATATATGTGAATGCTAGTTACCCAGGACATAATCCTCAAAAAGGAAAGACATGAAAAACTCCAAAATATCCATTTAATCAATCATGCTTAAAGGCTTTGGGTAAAAGACTCTTTACCCCTTTTTCTATGGAGCTGTCAGATGGACTCTTAGTTATGGCATGAGAACAAAGACATTATTTTGAAAAAAGTGATCTAATTTACCTATCAGATGAAGCTTATTTTCTGGTACCTTTTGTAAGTACTGTATGGAGCCATATCAGTCTTGTGTTAAAATGTTATTTTGGTTTGACTTTCTACTTGCCCTTTTTGTTTTTGTGAGGAAGTAAATGCATTTTTTGAGGAAAGGAGAATGTGATTCTTTTTGTTCTCTGTGACATTATTTATTGCTTTTACAAAGTGCAGCCAATGGATGGTTTAGTTCTTTCGGATGAAATTCCTACCATGTGCTTCAGCTCACAGCCCTTTGCTGGGTGAAAGGATACTTTCTGACAGTCACCTGAGTCTTAAACATATGTTTTCCATGACATGCCTTATCAATCTTTCATAATTGTGTCAGCCATCTGAAAAAGGATATTATTTTATTATTTGCTTAGTGATAGAATCATTTTTATTTACATATTTTTTTTATTTACCAGGCTCATGGCATGATCTTTGGAACAAATTTGTAGAAAAAACCCACCCAGGTTGAATGAACAGATATGTGTAATCAACTTCAATGGGCTTGAGCTGAGGGAAACTATTGAATTGTTTTATTGATACTTTCAATTGAGTTAATTAAACATTGTTTTTATTCATGTCATAGCTTTTAGAGTTGGGATTTTATATGAGTGGCCTTTCCTATGTTTTCTCTGAGGAGCTGTGTCTCATGAATGACAGTACTGAAGCTAACTAAGAGTTTCATGGAGCAGTATAAGCCTGTTGTAGTTCCTAAAAGTTGTCAATTCCACGCCCCTGGATTTTAGATGAAAACTTAATCTAACTGCTTCTATGATTCCTGAGGATGTCCATTGTCCATGGATGGGAAATAAAAATTGCCAGTAAGATATTTAAAAACTAAGTAAAATTCTGACCAACGAAAAGAAAGTACCTCAGAAAGAAACCATTTCAGAAAATTACAGTTTTAAATGTTTATTTAATCTCTAGGATGGTTTAACACTATTAAAATGATCACATTTTATAGCATGTACAACATATTAATATATGCCGTCTGGAAACAATAAATTACAACCAGTTTGGTAAATGCAAAAAGAAGAGTACAATCAAAATTTCTTTCAAAAATGAAGTAAAGCAACAAAAAGATGTTGATTGGAGGGAAAAACAGAACTTAAGAGGTGCATTTGAGTAACATCACTACATAATAGATATTATGGTCTGGTTGGTATTGCCTGACTTAAGCTGTAAAATGAAAACTAGTAGGCATGTTATTGGTCTATTGAGGCTAACATTTTTTATTTAGAGAAAATTTAAGGGCAACATGCACCAAAATGTCAAATATATACATCATAATATACATAATTTTTCACATTTTGCTGTTATAGAAGAAAACTGTGATAATAGAATTGGCTGGGTTTCTGAAGTGAAATCCACTGTAAGATTACTAGGTAGTTCAATAAGCTACACCTAGTAGTACAGAAAGAGGATATTGCCATATATTCTTCATACATTTGAGAGCAAGACATCCTTTTAGGATGTAAAATGATCAATAAGTAAGATATTTAAAAACTAAGTAAAATTCTGACCAAGACAGAATTTGGTCAGACAGTTGTCAAGACAGTTATAAAACCTTCTGTATTTGAGGGTGCCCATGGGAAATGGTTACCCTGTAATAGTGTCCTGCTGAGGGAGAAAGTTTTTACAAAACATCAAATCCTACCAATAGCAGAGAGACTCTAAAAAGTTGTATGGTACCTGTTTAAGTTCTGTGCTTCTGTTATAGAGAGCATCTAATATACCAGTTTGGATCCATTTCTTCAAACTTTTTCTAGTTTGCTTAATATTACTTTGTATCATTATCTCTTTCCCACTTAGAATACATTAATGCCTTTTATACTTCCTGAAGAAGGAAGAATCTTTTGATAATTATTGAATTCAACTTCCAATGATGATTTAAGTTTTGGACCTGTTAACTTTTAAGAGTCAGAGCCCTTCTTTGTCTTCTTAATTAAAGCCTCACTAATCTCTGGTAGGAATGTAAATGTGTCTCCTCTTCATACTCTTCAGCTAGATAAGCACAGATCTTTTAAGGTAGTAGATAGCTTGGTGGTTTTAGAAGTGTTTGGTGATTTTTATGGGAGTGAGTTTTCCTGAACATTGGTTTATGAATGGTCTCCTCAGACACTAATTAGGGTAGCTTTTTGTGGGTAATCTCAGGTTTGATGGCTGTTTTTCCCCTGAACAGCAGCATTTTCCTCATTGATGCAGATAGGATTCTGGGGAGGTTTTCTTCTCAGAGAAGATCCGTGTGTAGAAAGTGAGAATTCAAGGCATCACTTTTGCATAAACAATTTTACCTGCTGCACAGAAACTTGGACAGTGCTTTGGAATCCACTGGATTGCAGTTCAGGTTCAGCATGTCCTGACTACAAGAGGTAACAGTGTTTATCAAGCCTTTGTTATACTGGATTATTCATAATAGAAACTTATCTTCTAAAATACAACTAGGTTATAATTGAAATATTACCTGACAATTGGATGGTTTACAAAAACCAATGAGAAAGATTTTAAATACTGTTTTTTAAGTAAGAGCTTATGCTGTAATATTAGCTGGTAGCATTTGCTATAAAACCAGTGATGAAGTGGTTTTGTTGACAAGATCCACTCAGAGCAAGATTCTTCTGTCATTCATAGCAGACTGAAAAAAAATTTGTGTGATTCTTGTATAAATAATTTTGTACTTAACATTCTTAAAATCATCATAATTGTCCTTTAAGATTTCATTTGAAGATGCTGTTTATAAAAAGTTCAGATTTTGTGTGCAGGTATATTTTTATTCCTGTTATTAGGTAGGTAGTGCCTTCTTAATACCAGTTGGTGTTAGCTATAACCAAACTCTAGTGAGGTCAAACAATCCCAGGTTCTTTATAAAAGAAGAAATCTTTTAGAGTCAGATTTCCCATTGCAGATGATGTTTCTTTGATTCATTCATAAAGTCTTTTGACTGTAGGGACTCTTGAAGATAATAGTTGGGCAAGTGGTTTTCTTCTTAACCTTGTTGGTTAAGTTGCTTTTTGAAAGTCACTTATTTTAGATTGTAATGGAAACTGGATGTTTATATGTACCTGCCCATTTTTCTTAAAATGATATTTTTATGAAGATGATGAAGACCAAACCAATGGCTGCACTATAGGTCTGCTTCTTATATGTACTTGTTCTACTTCTGTTTATGTTGTAGAAAGTGAAATTCTAGCAACATGTTTTATTCTGTTATCTTTTTGATACTTATAAAAATGTATTAGGTTTTACTATATATTGTGCTTTTCAAAGCCATAACTCTTAAGAACTTTGTTTTTGCATATTGTTTGCTAATACTTTATTTTAATAAACCTCAAAAACTGCTTGATGTGTGTGTGTGTTTCTTGGTGCTCTGTTTTGACTTAACATGCTTCATTGAGTGGAGTTATAAAAATGAGAGAGGATTAGTTTCAGTGATCGCTGTGTTTGTGTACTAGCAATAGAAAATGGAAATATCATGCCTTTCCACTCAGCATGAGGTTTGCTCATAATGATTAATATTTTTTCATTCTGTCTATAAGAGAGTTTATGTGTTTTTCTTTGTTAGTTTTATTCTGTTTTGGAAAATATTTTGGATCTGGAGGCTGGGGTGTTTAACCACTTCTCTAGATCCATCTATAAATGAGAGGTCTTGACCCGCCAGGGGAGGTAGAATAGCTCTTAGCAGAGCTGGCTCTGGGGGCTGCCTGCTTGCATTTGAATCCTAGACCGCAGAGTTTTCTTGGCTCTGTGCCAATTTAGCTTTGCGCTTAACTTTTCTGTGCCTCAGTATTCTGATATGTAAAGTAAAAGTCTATCTATTTTATAGGATTTGGGAAAGATTAAATAAAATAATAAAAATAAAGTATTAAGAACAGTGCCTGGCATATAAGACCTCATATTTTTATTATCGTCTCTCATACTTCTT